CTCAGGGGTATCCCTGTGCTCTCACTCCAAATGGGAGGCCACAGAGCAGAGGGTGAGGGAGTCCACATCGGAGGCCGGACTTGGGGCGCTCCATTCTCAGCACTTAGCTCCGCACCCTGGGTACCCCAAACCAACCCCTCTCCCAGTGCCCACATTCACCTTGGAGTTACCGGGGTAGAACCACCAGATGTCTTCATCTTCTTTGATGAGGATTATCACCATCCCAGGCATGGAAGTGCAGCCAAAGAATTTTCAGCCATGGAACTCAGAGACTTGGGTTGTAATAATAAAAATGCATTTGCATTTTGCTTCATAACTCACAAGCAGGTTCTCACCCAGGCGTCACAACAGCCTTCGCATAAGTATTTTTTATTATCTAGCCCCATTTTATAGGTGGGGAAACTGAGGCGCAGAGAAGTGAAGTGTCTTTCCCTGAAACACTGAGCATGGCCAGGACCTGAGTCCAGTGTTCCTGTCTCTACTTGCTGCATGTCTGGTGGGTCTCAGTTTTTCCAGCTGTGTAATGGGGGTTACCCATTCTATGGCTTTGCTTCTCAATTTTGGTGGGGGGGGGGCCAATGGGTAGCGTGTGGAAAGTATGGGGGCGGGTAGCCCTCTGGCCCTTTTTCCTCCAGCCCCCAGCTGCACCTCTCTGTAGCCCTGCCACCCCTCCCAGTTCCAAGCATGTGTAGACTTCTCACTTCCACTTTATTATCACCTCATTTGTAGGATTTGAAGATTCGTTACCTGGAAGGGAGTGAAGAGTTCACACTTCCAGTTCCGCTTTTCAAATATGCCTTCATTGCTTGTGAAAATAACCTTATTAACAGCATCTAACCTGCTATAGCTTATGGGGGCACCAGGTAAGTAAATGCAGAAGGAGCCAGGGCAGGAAACAGCACTGCCAGCTGGGGGAGTGCAGCCTCTGGACCCCTGGATTTTCTCTCAGCCCTTGGCGATCCTGGAACTGTTGTCAGGGTCAGTAGGACATGGGTGAGGCCCAGAGTAGTCTTGAGCAATTGGCTGCCTTCTCTGGGTCCTTGCCGTCTGCCTCCTCTTCTGATGCTCAGAGATCCTCCTAGAAACAGCTCCCGTGCCTCCGTAGCTCCCCTGCCTCCTGGACGCTTGTCCGGGATTGATTCTCTGGGCAGCTCCCCCTCTGAGCAGTAAATGAAATATTGGTTACCAGGAGTGAGGCAGGAGGCAATTAACCCCTAGACCTCACCATGGTAGATGTGTTTGTAGCAAGCTGAAGAGGGGAGAGCTGAGCGCACCTGCCTGGCTTTCCTGCAAAGTCATCCAATTAGGGCAGTCCCCAGCGGTGGGCCCCCACACCCCTCTGGTCTCCGTGACCCCAGAAACCAGGGCAGCACCAGCCACTAGGGCTGGCAACTGCCGGAGCACAGAATGGCCTGACACTCTTTGTGTGGGTGAGCTCCAGGGGCACCTCCATCCCCACACACCCCTGGAAGGGACATTATCCATTCATTCATCACACATCTCCCAAAAATGGAGGCAATCTGGGGAGGCTTCTTCCTTCCTCCCTCCATTCGGCCTGACCAACCTCCTTTCTGCCATCCAGGTACCCCTATGCTCTAGAACAGGGGTCCTCAAACTTTTTAAACAGGGGGCCAGTTCACTGTCCCTCAGACCGTTGGAGGGCCGGACTTTAGTTTAAAAAAAAAAACTATGAACAAATTCCTATGCACACTGCACATATCTTATTTTGAAGTAAAAAAACAAAACAGGAACAGATACAATATTTGTATCTGCATGTGGCCCGCGGGCCGTAGTTTGAGTACCTCTGCTCTAGAATGTTCCTGTGCCAGCAAAGCCCCTGACTGAGGAGCAGGGGAGACACATGCCCTGCTTTCAGGGAACTTCCAGTCTGAGAGGGAGACACAGCGCCTGCACTCAGAGAGCCCCCACTTGGACTAGGAGATGGGCTCTGTCCTTTGAGGGCCCTCCAGGCCCAGAGTCTGGTCTCAGAAAGCCCTAGTTCAACAGAAAAAGTACAATGTCTCCCCCAGAGCCACTGAGAGAGGAACCACAGTCTCTGCATCCAGGAACGCCCCACCCTCAGTCTCAGTGGAGCTATTCACCTTGCCCTCAACTCACTCAAAACACTGTCTCCAAGGATTCCCAGTCCGATGGAGGAGACACAGAGCTTGCCTGCAGGAAGCTTCCCATTCTGATAGTGGAAACACGGTCCTTGACCTTGGGCACCCCAAGTCTGTGGAGTGAAAACAGACTTGGCCCTTGGAGAGCCCCTGTCTGATGGGGAAGACATCTCCCCAACAGGTTCCTTTGCAGCTGGGATGCAGCCCGAGTGACGGGTAGCTGACGGCTGGCCTTGCTGGACACTCCTGGTGCCCCACAAAGAAAGAGTCCTTGGTTTCAGTCCAGGCCCAGCTGTATGACAAACTTGCTGCATGACCAAGGGCAAGTCACGAATTTTCTTCAGACGGTGATTTCCTCATCTGCAAAATGGAGACTTCAAGCTCATCTCTCAAAATGACATGAGGATCGTCCAGTCACCAGAAAGGAAAGAAAGCCAGCCAGCCAGCCAGGCAGACACTCCCTGCAGAAATGATTAGCATGCTTTTTATTGTAGCAGAGGTCCTAGACCAGTCCCTGTGGTCTCGGGAGGAGTGGGGTGCCCCCAGGTGTGGTGGCTGGGTAATTAGGGGCCAATGTGGCCATTAAAAAAACCACAGGGGGCGGTGGACAGAATTGGGGGCCGGGTGGGGAGGAGCGCTGTCTAATCTAATCACTCTTCCCAAGGAAACTCTCATTCCAGCCAGATCTGCCAGGGGTTTTATTGGGTTTGTGGGACCTGCAGATTTCAATCTCCAGACCCCACAGGGAAGGAACAAGTATTAAGCTAATTTTATTAAATGGCCACAGCTGGGAAGCAAGGGAGCGAAGGGAGGATAAAGAAAGTCATTCAAGGCTGCCAGCGATGACAAGGGTCTATACATGGGACCTGACTGGAAGAGAGCCCACCCCCTCCTTCCTGTCTCTCCGGCTGAGCCAGCGGGATGGGGGCTGGGAGAGGCCAGATGGGACCTTTCCCTCAATGTAGAGCCTTGGGATTCTCCAGAAAGCTTACCCCATGGCTGCTTCCAGGGCAAATGCTTGTAAATACACCAAGCTTCTGCAGGGCAGGGGCAGCGGGAATGGAAGGGCTGAACATGATGAGGAGGGAGGCTGAGCTGCCTCAATGTCATCTTTCCTCAGTTTTGCTTTGGAGATCCCAGATCTTTGTGAAATATGGTGTACCAGGTAAGAGCATGGTTTTTGGTTCAGGCATTTGCTTCTTTCTAGCTCTGCAACCTTAGCAAATGATTTAGCCTCTCCGAGCCTTAGTTTCCTCATCATTTCAGAAAAAAATAACAATATTCATTAAAGGGCATGAGAGCATTTCCTGATAATCCACTCCCCCCCCACACACACATGATATTCATAGTTTCTATGTGGTGTCTGATACAGAGTAGGTGCTGTGCTCTCTAAATATTAGCTATTATTATTTAGGCATGTCCTAACAGTGGGACTGCCGTGGCCATTACAGGAAGTGAAGGAGGTAGTGTCAGGGTGAAGAGACTTGGTGTGTTGTCTCCAAGGAGCAGGGCTTCTTAGATTCAAGTGTGACCACAGGGCTAAGTGACTATCACAATAAGCAAGCTATTTAACCTCGCTGGGAGAAGAATTACATCTACTCACCCAACCTCCCAGGGCTCTTGGGAGACCTGAGTGACATATCTGAAAGCATTTCTGCAAACTTTAAAGTGATGTATAAATAATAAAAACTGTTTATTGAGCTCATATATCTCTCTAATCCTCAGTCAAGTGAGGGAGGTCACCTGCATTTTATAGATGAGAAAACTGAGGCCCAGAGGTGAAGTGCTCCGGCCAAAGCCAACCACCTTTCAGTGCAAAGGCGGTCATGAACCCAGAACCGAGTCAGAGGGGAGTGACTTGCCCAGGATCACATATGGAGGCACTGGATGAGAGCCGAGGTTTCCCGGATTAAACCTTGCTGTGCCTTTGGAATGCTGATGCCACTTTCAAGGATGAACACATGGAACTTATCCACCATGGAGGAGGAGGATATAACCCGGTGGCTTCCCATTCCAGCTGCTCAGGCCCATGGTGGCGGGCACTGGCCCCCGTCTTCCCCCAGATCCAGGGGCGGCTTCCCGCAGACCCCTTTCTAGTCCGGAGGAGGACAGGGTCAGAATCTCCTGCAACTCCTCCCCAGGGCACAGACGGAAATCCAATGGGGTGCAAGTGTTTTTATTATAGCTTTGGTCAGACGGGGAGCGACTGGGGGTAGGGCTTTAAAGGGTGCTGGGGAGCTATCCAGTCCCCCTCCCAGCCCTTCCCCAGGTGGCACCACCCCCGGAGCCGGAGCGGGAGCAGGCAGGCAGCGCATCTGAACGCAGGAAGCGATTCTGCCGGACCAGACCGGTCCCCAGGCTTGGGCGGGCTGGCGGGAGGGGTGGGCAATAAACAATCCTATTGTACAAATATACAGCGCGGGCTGCGCTGCGGCCAGGACGGGGCGCGCAGCCGGGTTGGGCAGCAGAGAGGTGGGCGGGGGACGGGTCATC